TCTGTAAACTCGGGGGTGGTACCGTTGGACTGGAAAATAGCTAACGTGGTTCCTATTTTCAAGAAGGGGAAAAAAAGTGATCCGGGTAATTACAGGCCTGTTAGTTTAACATCTGTAGTATGCAAGGTCTTGGAAAAATTTTTGAAGGAGAAAGTAGTTAAGGGCCTTGAGTTGAATGGTAATTGGGACAAATTACAACATGGGTTTACGAAAGGTAGATCGTGCCAAACCAACCTGATCTCCTTCTTTGAGAAAGTAACAGACCTTCTAGATAAAGGGAATGCGGTGGATCTAATATACCTCGATTTTAGTAAAGCGTTTGATACGGTACCGCATGAGGAATTATTGGTTAAACTAGAAAAGATGGGGATCGATATGAAAATCCAGAGGTGGATAAAGAACTGGTTAAAGGGGAGACTGCAGCGGGTAGTACTGAAAGGGGAACTGTCAGGTTGGAGGGAGGTCACCAGTGGGGTTCCTCAAGGTTCGGTTTTGGGTCCGATTTTATTTAATCTATTTATTACTGACCTCGGAACCGAATGTAGGAGTGGGCTGATAAAGTTTGCGGATGACACAAAGTTGGGAGGTATTGCTAATTCGGAGAAGGATCGGGATATTCTGCAGGGAGACTTAGATGACCTTGTAAATTGGAGTAATAATAATAGGATGAGATTTAATAGTGAGAAGTGTAAGGTGATGCATTTAGGGATGACTAACAAGAATTTTAGTTATAAGCTGGGGACGCATCGGTTAGAAGTGACGGAGGAGGAGAAGGACCTTGGAGTCCTGGTTGATCGCAGGATGACTATGAGCCGGCAATGTGACGCTGCTGTTAAAAAAGCTAATGTGATCTTGGGATGCATTAGGCGAGGTATTTCCAGTAGGGGCAAGGAGGTGCTCCTTCCGTTATAAAAGGCGCTGGTGAGACCTTATTTGGAGTACTGTGTGCAGTTCTGGTCTCCTATGTTTAAAAAGGATGAATTCAAACTGGAATGGGTACAGAGAAGGGCCACTAGGATGATCCGAGGAATGGAAAACCTTTCCTATGAAAGGAGACTCGAGGAGCTCGGTTTGTTTAGCCTAACCAAAAGAAGGCAGAGGGGGGATATGATTGCTCTCTTTAAATACATCAAAGGGATAAATACCAGGGAGGGAGAGGAATTATTTCAGCTCAGTACTAATGTGGACACGAGAACGAATGGATATAAACCGGCCGTGGGGAAGTTTAGGCTTGAAATTAGACGAAGGTTTCTAACCGTCAGAGGGGTGAAATTTTGGAACAGCCTTCCGAGGGAAACGGTGGGGGCAAAAGACCTCTCTGGCTTCAAGATTAGGCTAGATAAGTTTATGGAGGGAATGGTTTAATGGGATAACGTGATTTTAGTCAATTAGGTAATAAAGTGCCATCGCTGGTAAAATGTGGGTCTGGCTAGAGAATCTTGCCTGTATGCTCGGGGTTCTACTGATCGCCATATTTGGGGTCGGGAAGGAATTTTCCTCCAGGGTAGATTGGCAGAGGCCCTGGAGGTTTTTCGCCTTCCTCCGCAGCATTGGGCAGGGGTCGCAAGCTGGAGGATTCTCTACGACTTGAAGTCTTTAAATCACGATCTGGAGACTTCAACAGCTGAGTTAAGGGAAAGTGGGTGGGTCAGCTTTTGTGGCCTGCATCATGCGGGAGGTCAGACTAGATGACCATAATGGTCCCTTCTGACCTTTAAGTCTATGAGTCTATGAGTCTATGTTAGTGTTTGACTTCCAGCTCAGCTTGACCTATGCAGAGTCGCTCGATAGACATCCATGCTTAATGCTGATGAGTTTCTGCTAAAAGGCTCTGGGATAAACTCAGTAGTGACATAATCACGGGGGTAAGATATTTGTGAGGGGTCATTTCATTATAACCTTTGTGTAAATGGAGAAGTGCCATCACATACACTGACCTGGCATTCCATGTAGATGTAGTCAAATGCAGACAGAATACCATGATTAGGTAGACAGAGATTATGTCTTCATGGCAAAGAAAAACCCGGATCTCAGAGTCCAGGTTTACAGATTTGGGCTTGCACTAGGGTGTTGGTGTTTGAGCACATTTCAAGTGAGTGGGAAAATATTTTACAGCTGCTACCTGGGCTTCTATGCATTCCAAATGAAAAATGTAAGACTTTAGTCCCGTGCTGAATGATCTGGCTGATTTGGGTGATGGAAGGAACAACAGGGCACATGACAATAATATTTGTGTATTAAGGATGGGATATTCTAAGAGATCTAATGGAGTTATGTACATAAATCCACTTGGGTAGTTGATTGGAGTTGGGCACATAATTTCCTTAAACTGTTCTGAAAATCCTAGTCACAGGTCACATCCTGGTGCAGGAGTACACTGTATAGTTCCAGATTCTGCCACAAATCCCCTTGTTCCCTTTCCTAATGCCTCTCATTGGAAATCTTTGGATTTCTTCCTGCGATAAATTTGGCCCATTCTGTTGATCTTGTCTCTACTCCCTCTTCTGCTAGAATTCCTTGAGGGGTGGGGTCAACAAACATATGAACAACGGTTATCCAGTGTACCTGGCCTTTCAGAAAACCTTTGACAATGTCCCTCATCAAAGGCTCCTATTCAAAATAAGCAGTCATAGCATAAGAGAGAAAGTCCTCTCATGAATCAGTAATTGATTAAAAGACTGAAAACAAAGGGTAGGAATAAATGGTCAGTTCTAAGAATGGAAAGAGGTAAATAGTGGTGTCCCCCAGCGATCTGTATTGAGACCAGTGCTGTTCAACTTACTCATAAATGATCTGGAAAAAATGGATAAACAATGAGGTGGCAAAATTTGAAGATGATACAAAATTACTCAAGATAGTTAAGTTCAAAGCAGATTGTGAAAAGTTACAAAGGGATCTCACAAAACTGGGTGACTGGGCAACAAAATGGCAAATGAAATGAAATGTCAATAAATGCAAAGTAATGCACATTGGACATAAACCCAAATAAACATACAAAATGATGGGGTTTAAATTAGGTGTTACCACTCAAGAAAGAGACCTTAGAGTTATTGTGAATAGTTCTCTGAAAACATCTCAATGTGCAGATGCAGCCAAAAAATCCAAAGAGTATTTTAGGAACCATTAGGAAAGGGATAGATAATAAGACAGAAAATATCATAAAGACACTATATAAATCCATGGTATGCCCACACCTTGAAAACTGTGTGCAGTTCTGTCACCCCATCTCAAAAAAGATGTATAAGAATTGGAAAACATACAGAGAAGGGCAACAAAAATGATTAAGGGAATAGAACAGCTTCTATATGCGGATAGATTAAAAAGACTGGGACTTTTCATCTTGGAAAATAGATGACTAAATGGGATATGATAGAGGTCTATAAAATTGTGACAGGTGTGGAGAAAGTGAATAAGGAAGTGTTATTTACCCCTTCACATAACACAAGAACCAGTGGTCTCCCAATGAAATTAATAGACAGCACATTTAAAACAAAAAAGGAAGTACTTCTTCACACAACGCTCAGTCAATTTGTGGAATTAGTTGCAGGGGATGTTGTGAAGTCCTAAAATATAAAAAAAGAATCAGATAAGTTCATGGAGGATAGATCCATCAATGACTATTAGCTAAGATGGTCAGGGATACAACTCAATGGTTTGGGTGTCCCTAAGCCTCTGACTGCCAGTGGATGGAACTGGATGACAGGGGATGGATCAATCAATAATTTCCCTGTTCTGTTCATTCCCTTTGAAGTACCTGACATCGGCCACTGTCAGAAGACAGGATACTGGACTAGATGGACCATTGGTTTGACCCCGTAAGGTCGTTTATATATTTTCATGTTATGTAAAACTTACAATTTTCTTAACTTAACATTGCATGAATATGAAATGGCTGGGAACTATTTCTTGTTCAATATGAATAATCATATTGGTACAAATTATTTTCAATTTAGCAAAATTAAAATGAATTAAACATTGATGCATTGCATACCATTTGTGCAAAGTAGCTATTTAGTCCATGAAACAGAGGGGGATGAGAGGGTGGCACACAGAGAGCTGGTGGGGGGAAAGGAGGAAAGCAAGGAGCCCCTGATGTGTGCAAGGGGCTCAGCTGACAGAAGCTATGAAATGTGAGACCCCACCTATTATACTGAGTATTATTTTTACTGATGTATCTAGAAGAGAAGAGCACATTTATGAAAAAAATGGGGAAAGTATCTAAAAGCAGATATCACTTGGAAGACTGGACAACATCTAGAGGAAGCTAAAAACATATCTATATTTGCAACTATTCAGGAAAAGTATTATAAAATACTTCATCAATGCTAAATCAGTCCACTTAAGCTCAGGAAAATGTATAAGAAAGGGAAACATAATGGCTAGAAAAGGTGTGGAGGCATATATGCTGGGATTGCATTAAGATAATAGTACAGAAATTAGACAATATTTTTGACAAATTAAACAGATTTCTCAAGAATACTAAAGGTAGGCCACCTATAGAACCCAGAATTATTGTTGGTTACTCACTGAGGGAAGGGCACACTGGTAACACAATTATTTCTGGTAACAAGATATTTGATAGTTCATGTTTGGAGAAGGATAGATCCACCAACATTAATGGCAAAGGGAAATAAAGTATGGGAAAACCTTCTAATGGAGAAAAAGGGAAAGATCCATTAATTCATTTAGTTGGGATTGGTCCTGCTTTGAGCAGGGGGTTGGACTAGATGACCTCCTGAGGTCCCTTCCAACCCTGATATTCTATGATTCTATGATTCTATGAATTGGGGTCAAGTAGAGTATGTATTGAATCATTTCCATGTTTGGAATTTGAACACAATGAGTACAAACTTCATGCTAAGAGGTTGACCAACATGATTTTTTTAAATGTCAAAAATAGGGATTAAAGATATGTATTATAAAAACTCTGATGGAAAGTTCATTTAGGACAATAATAACATAATTGGGGGAAAAAGGATAATTCAAGATGCATTCTGTCTTTATAGTTTCTTCACCGAGGACAGAATTCTGCTCATCAGTCTCCTAATTGCCTTTTTCATCTCAGCGTTTCTCAGCGTGTAGATCATTGGGTTCAGCATTGGGGTGATTACAGTGTAAATGATTGAAGCCAACTTGTCCATGGGCAATTTCCGGAATGGCCGAGCATAGATGAAGATGCAGGGTATGAACTGTAAACACACAACTGTGATCTGGGATCCACAGGTAGACAGAGCTTTGCGCTTCCCATCTGTAACATGTTTCTTTATCTTGACAAAGATGATGGTGTACGAAATGAGCAGGATGATGAACATTACTATGACAAGCATCCCACCATTGGAAACCATCAGCAGCTCGACCAAGTAGGTGTCCGTGCAGGCCAGTTTGATGACTTGTGGGACATCACAGTAGAAATTGTCCAGGATATTTGGACCACAGAAAGGCAACTGGAGGATCAATCCAATCTGAACAGCAGAGTGAGCCAATCCACCCAACCATGCCCCTGCCACCAGCCCCATGCACACAACACGGTTCATGATAGTCAAGTACCGCAGTGGTTTATAGATGGCTATGTACCGATCAGCAGCCAACATCACAAGGACAAAAACCATAGCACCGGCGATGAAGTGGAATAAGAACATTTGGAGGATGCACTCATTGAACGAGATGGTTCTGTGCTGGGAGAGGAGACCCAACAGCAATTTTGGAGCATTGACTGATGAGTCACTGACATCTAGGAAAGCCAAGTTGGCCAGCAAGAAGTACATGGGGGTGTGGAGCCGGTGGCTGGTGATCACAGTGGTGATGATGGTGAAGTTTCCCAACCAGGTTGTCAGGTAGACTATGAAGAAGATGACGAAGAGGCATCGCTGCAGGTCAGTATTCTGGGTGAGTCCCAAGAGGACAAATTCTGTCACTGTGGAGCTGAGGTTCTGCTGTTCCATTTACTAGCTTCAAAACATGTCTAGAGAGGGAACTGTAATAATTAGTATGAAGAAGTTCTTACTATTCCCTCCTTGAATTAGTAGTATTAAATCAATATTAATGCCTTTTAACAGACATTTGTTTAATAATTATCTTAGTTTCCTAAATTCAGTCATCCTCCGTGCAGGGCATCCCTGCTACAGCAGACCCTACGAACTACACCAGTTGTCATCCTGAGTTTTGGGATCATTGGGCATGAAAAGGAGCAGCCTACCCACAAAATCAAGCCTTTGGCTAGCCACTTTCTCTATTCATTTCCCTGCAGCCCTCATGTTGCACACATCCACGGGGTCTAGAGGGTCATGGTTGGGAATAACGTGAGTTGCAGGGAGTGCTCTTAGGCAGAGCTTCTGAGAGTCCAGTGGTTCTCAGTGTGGGGGTCATAAAAAATTGTCAGGCATTCATGACAACCAGAATGCCCTTCCCATATTCATATGTGGCAAGGAGGTCCCACGTAGTTCCTCGTTTAGACTGAAGAAGAGTTGTAATGGAAAACTGGAGAACCACTTATTTAGAGGATTCATGTGCCCAGTGTGTGCCCTTGGTTACAAGAAGAGAAGGAATTAACTCTAATTGTCTTTAGAAGTAATTGCATGTGCTCACCGCATCTGAAATAAATCCAGTCACTGTATTTAGATGCCTATGGATTCTGGTGCATAATTTTAAACAACTGAATTTGAAAGCTGTGAACACAAAAAGATTTCTGTCTATGCATCCCTGTTTAAATATTCAAAACTGCTGTGGGATTATGGATTCTGAGCTCCCATTAACATTTTTGAAAATATCTGGAACAGATTTTAAAAAATGTTCCCAATAAAACACATCTATGAAATAGTCAATATATCTAATTTTTCATGGTTAAATTCAAAAAGGAAAGAAAATGAACATTTTCATGCCATTAGTGTTTAAATCCCAATTTTCAATTAATTTCTAAACAATTAGTTTTTGCAAATTTTATATTCAGATTGAATTTTAATTTTGATTCTTTTTTTTTTCTTGAGGGTCAACCAAAAACTTTTAAAACTTCCTCTCTCAGTCTGGATTTTCAAAGGGGAATAAGGGAGGTAAACACAGGGAATCCTGCTCAGATTTTATCGGCATTTCCCTGGGCTTTTTCTAATTTTTGCTTCCTAGCTCCACCTTGCTTCCAAGATAAAACCTTTCAGATCAGAGCAGAACAAAGCAGCTGCCATAGAAGATGCTTGGTCAGACAGAGCTAGTGTTACAAAGTTTGGTGGTAAAGGCTCAGTGAACTGTTCTCTTCCTAACTCAGTTAGGTTCTTCTAAAATCCAAGCCAATCTCTGAACTGCCCCTAACACTCACTTCCTCTCTGCAATAACAATGCCAATCGCTAATTCTACATTGCATATTTTGAACAACAAAAGTCATGACCTCAGCCTGTGTTCCGGTGATCTCAGAGCCGGCTGCCTCCAAACAATTGAAGATGGTCCAGGGAAGTCACATCTCATAGCTGGTCATGTTTTCCTGACTGGGTGGGGAAGGGGACCTGATTCCAAAGAGTAGACAGCCGCAGAAATCTTCCCCTTATATCCCATCTGATCCATGCACCAAGACTGGTGCTAGGATCAAAGACTCACTGAAAGCCCCCTGAGCTTTACTGAGCCAGATTAAGAGAGTTGCTGCTTTGGAGATTTGAGATTTCAGTCTCAAGGGGAATAATTAATAAGTTCCTGGAGTTTTTCATTTTGTTTATGTTTTTTTTTAGCCACTCAAACTGAACAGGCTTTGGAAATTTACCAAGTTGATTGGGCTTGACACAAAGAGGCACAGGGGCTGAACTGGATCGTTGTCTAGCCTCCAAATGGAGGAAATGCCAGGACTTCTGGGTTCTATTCCTTGCTCTGAGATAAAAAGCTGTTCTGTGGGTCAGAGCTGGAGAAAAGTAACCAGTACTTCTGGATTCCATGTCAGTTCTAGGTGGCATGTTGGGTCTAATGTCTCTGAGAGGGGGCAGTTGTATTTCCTCATCCCTCCTGAACCCCTTTAAGATATTTTGTCCAAGAGCTCTATGGAAGATAAGAACGACTTCTGGAGGATATCTGAATGAATGTTCATCTGCAAAGTCAGTCTGATTATGAAGTCAGCAGACAATGTCAATGTTGTCAAACTTCAACACCGCAGCTCAAAATACTTCATCAATCGTAATTCACTCCACTTAAGCTCAGGAAAATACATAAGAAAGGGAGTCATAATGGCTAGAGAATGTGTGGAGGAATACTGGTCTTTCTCCATATTTGCTGAGAATGGCCTAAGATAATAGGAGAGTAATCGGACAATGTTTTGGAGGAAAATAAATAGATTTAGGAAGATTACTAAAGATTGGACACCCATGGAACACAAAGTCACAGTCCAAAGCTGGATGTTGATTTAGGGAAAAATCCATTGATCACAAAATGACTGCTAGTAGCCACATCTATGATAGCCCATGTTTGGAGGACACATCCATTAGCATTAGAGGCATGAAGGAATAAAATACAGGGAATCCCTCCAATAGAGAAAATGGCAGAGATTTCTATATCAGGGCAGAGTGCAGAATACATCATTTCCAGAAGCGTAAACATTATGAGCAGAGTTTCACCCCCAATACATTTCTTAATATGTAATAAATGGATTATGAATGAAATGTGTTAATACTCTGATGGAAACTTCATAAGGAATAAAAATTACCAAAAAAAAAAAAAAGATAATTCACAGCTAAATTATGATGTTATTGTTTTTTCCCTGAAAACAGAATTATGTTCCTCAATTTCCTGATTCTCATTTTCATCTCAGCATTTCTCAGTCTGTGGATCATGGGGCTCAGTATTAGGGTGATTACAGTGTTAATGACTGAAGCCAATTTAGCCAGAGGTAATTTCCAGAAGGGCCAAGCATAGATGTAAATGCAGGGTAGGAATTGTGAACACGGAACTGGAATGTGGGATCCTCACACGGACCGATCCTTGGCTTCCCTTCTATGACCTGTGTCTTTATCTTAACTAAGATGGTGGTGTACTACATGACCAGGAGAATAAAGATGACCAGGTAGATGTCGGTGCAGGCCAGTTTGATGAGTTTTGGGATATGGCAGTAGGAATTATCCAGGATGCGTATGCAGTACAGTAATACTCACTATCATTTAGGCCACGGACTATATACTGCAATTCATAGGGGCAATTCACAGTCATTCATGATGACACTGGATTGTCAGTTGGCAAGAAAAAGAGAGTGAAGTGTCCTTATAGCACTCTGCTCATATTAAACACTGGGCATCCTCTTCCCCTTCAGCCTCTGGCCTCAGTGACCCCTGTGTGACACTGGCAGGCCAGATGCCAGCACTTCCCCAGGCTGCAGACATTAGCGCAGAACTGGCAACCTCATAGCTGGAGACCAGATCAGGTGACCTGTGTGCTAGTTTTGCTCAAAATAGATATTAGTCTTATAAGAATACATCTAGTGTGTAGACTCTCTGAAATGCTTGTATGTTGCTGCCTGCATTAATCTCACTGATAATGTCTATATCTCATGTTATAAGATAATATTTATGTGTTTGCTCTGTAACTATAAAGGTGATTGCTCTGAAACTGTAAACCCCCACATTCAGGAGAGAAACATGAGAAAGGGTGAAATACTAGTTTGCCAGAGGAGGTGTCATCTCCTGCCCAACAGAAGAAGGCCCATAGACACCAGAAGAACCATTGTGGAACGTCAGAAGACAAAATACTTTGTTGAGTTCTCCCACTGCCCCCATGAAGAGGAGACGTGCACATGAAGTCATTCCGTCATCTTGAACTCTGGGGGAAGGGAGTAAAAATCCCTGACAAGAAGAAACTGTGTCTTTTGGGCTATTTGAACTTTGAAGGTCCAGAGAATTTGAACTGAAGCCAGAGATCCCCAAGGGCTGCCTTTTGGGTGTGTCGTGAAAGACACTTTGAAGTGACCTATCACTATAGCTCTGTAACTGTTAGGATGTAGATGGTAACTCATCGGTGTCTATGTGGTCACTTACTTTAACCTGTAAATAACTCTCTGATTCCTTTTTCCCAGTTAATAAACCTTTAG